TATAAGTATATATATAAATATATAAATTTATATGTATAAATTTAATACATATATATGTGTATATCTATATATCTATATATCCTATATATACATGAATATATTTAAATATATATATATATAGATTATATATACTGAGATGATGATATCAAAATACGCAGACGATGCGAACACGTTCCAAGTGTGGGTCGTAGTACTTTCTTATCTACACTAGAGACAAAGAAGTGCTGTAAGGCGCCGTTTGCCGCACAAACAATGCATTCCCCGTTCGGAACACTTTGTATACATACATATTACTTGAATATATATGCAGCCGAAAAGTGGTTAGTTCAAAAACATACCAAAACATGCATCTTATGGAGCGCGTGATTTGACTGTATCTAACATGCTCACCGGCCAGCTTCTCTGGATGTGGCGTACGATGCACCCAAGTGCGCCTTCTTATAAACTGAATGACATACGGCACACTAGTGTATATAGGAGTGTGTGCGTATTTATAGACATGGGAATGTGTATACGAAGCCATAGTAGACATACATGAAACTGTATGATAGACGGACTGATCAACCCTTGTCTCTACTTAACCCTTCAATCTGAATCTATACTTGTCGATATAAAAACACTCTTTGCTTGAATCAATTGCTAATCGTTTGCAATCATATTTTATTGAAATTAGCTATGATGCAGGTGTTAGACGTCCGCACAGCTAGACGTACTAGCTGATACGTAAACGAGGACCTACATATAAGTACACAAAACTCCATTCTAGCTGACGGAAAAAAACGCTTAAATTTACGGTTTACATAACCTGATGCATCGATACATGCATGTACATCGATAGATTGAATCCACCCACTATCACTGAAAGACTTCATGTACACAAATGCGCTAGTGCTAGATGAATACGCGTTCACACGCTTGTATACCGTATGTAACTGTAACTTATCACATGGCATAGAAGGCCGGCGTCTGCACATCGAGAAGTACTCCCACCAAAACTCCCTAAACCTAGTTGATAATACTTCTTCCTCACGCGGACGTCATACCACACTACACAAGCACACGCTACCCATCAACGCGTGCCAACCCCAACCTCATCACAAACCAGTACTGGTTCGAAGAAGACTTCGCATACGCACGCGCACGCCCTTGCCTCCATACCTCCACGGGTCTACACAGCTGCATGATAGACTGTGGGCCTGTCGGCCAGTAGGCGCAAATGGTGTCGTATAGACACTGCACGCTGTAGGTATCGTCCTCCTTTGTGTGTTCAGTTGCGGACGTCCCATCCGAATGGGTCACGGGCTGCTTGACAAACGCACGCAGCCATGAGTCTCAATAAGAGGTGGGTGGAGGGTGCAGACGGCATAGGGAGTGAGGTTGTGATGTGTTGTAGCATATGGGGACAGGCACGCAATCACTTGAAGTGTGCGAGGGTGATTACGTCTGTTCACGGCTACATGACTCTGGCGCGTGGCCAGTGAATACCTGTGCACTTGCGTGTGTACATATGTGACACTAGAGACACTCCATCCGCAGATGTCTAACATACATGAACGCATATACACCTATGTTTCGAGAAAAGAAGACATGGACTGGCGGATATATCCCTTACCAAAACGAAGGAGAGGTGGCCGCGACAGAGTTGCAGAGTGGAGATAGTGTGATGTTTGGTATAGATAGAGTGATAGAGTAGAGATAGTGTGATGTTTGGTATAGATAGAGTGGTAGAGTGAAGATAGTGTGATGTTTGGTATAGATAGAGTGATTGAGTGAAGATAGTGTGATGTTTGGTATAGATAGAGTGTGATGTTTGGTATATATAGAGTGTGATGTTTGGTATAGATAGAGTGGTAGAGTGGAGATAGTGTGATGTTTGGTATAGATAGAGTGTGATGTTTGGTATAGATAGAGTGGTAGAGTGCAGATAGTGTGATGTTTGGTATAGATAGAGTGGTAGAGTAGAGATAGTGTGATGTTTGGTATAGATAGAGTGGTAGAGTGAAGATAGTGTGATGTTTGGTATAGATAGAGTGGTAGAGTGGAGATAGTGTGATGTTTGGTATAGATAGAGTGGTAGAGTGGAGATGGTGTGATGCTTGGTATAGATAGAGTGTGATGTTTGGTACAGATAGAGTGTGATGTTTGGTATAGGTAGAGTGTGATTTTTGGTATAGATAGAGTGTGATGTTTGGTACAGATAGAGTGTGATGTTTGGTATAGGTAGAGTGTGATTTTTGGTATAGATAGAGTGTGATGTTTGGTACAGATAGAGTGTGATGTTTGGTATAGGTAGAGTGTGATTTTTGGTATAGATAGAGTGTGATGTTTGGTATAGATAGAGTGGTAGAGTGGAGATAGTGTGATGTTTGGTATAGATAGAGTGGTAGAGTGGAGATAGTGTGATGTTCAACATAGTATGAGGGTCACTTGGTTATCCATAGACCCAAACACCAAAATTGAGAAGCGATTGCTTAAGCCGAGAGGGGCCAGTGATAGGTATAACTGTGCGTAGGTATAACTGTGCGTAGAGTGTGATAGTGCATGCACAGCACAGTGAGTACACAAAGGGCTACACGTACATCAACATGTGCCACAAATGTAATGTTATCTTAAGTTATCATAGGTACACTACATCAGCATGTGCTACAAGTGTAATGTTATTTTAAGTTATAACAAGTGTAATGTGATCTGTAGATATTCACACTAAAAAAACAGAGCTTCGCTAAGGCCCCGCGAGGATTTCACAACAGACACCACAACAGACACCGTGGCGTCAAAGTCACAACCAGCCCATACTATTACATTCTAACAAGCGTCACATACAACTCTCAAGCATAAGTGTACATGCAGACAATCACACACTACGTATGTAAAAGTACCTTCACTAGTGTTTACCCGGGAGTAGCATTCAACACACTAAACACTTACCATTGCAGTGCTTGTAATGGTTTGCATGCCATGCACATACCCGCTGTGGCCTAGCATGGAACTCAATACGTTTGGCCTTGAATGTGCATCGGTCTGCCTGCATAGCCTCGTCGTCCAGAAAGGTCAGCGAGACTGAATGCGATCCACCGCTACGCTCTCCACTAGAGTCACGTGCATGTAACCTGTCTTCACCACCGCCAGATGTGTATGCTTTCGTGTCAACACCCGCTAATGCGCCGTGGTTGCTAACATTCTGTTGATGTGTACTGCTACTTGTATTTATATTGCCATCTGTACGTATATCACACGTAAGTAGATATCGCAGCTCAAAGCGCTGTCGTGGCAAAAAGGTGGTGGCGCCTAAAAGTGGGTCTTCGCGTGTGCACGAGAGCACCTCACTGTTGCCATCGACTGTCACACGAGAGTACTTACCCTCACTCACCATCAGGAACTCCACCATGGTTACAACTAACTAAGCACGAATATGTATACGTTAAATAGCGCTATACCACCACTGCAGTTGTTCCCGTGCATAGATTATCAAACTAATGGTTGTACGTGCAGTCCACTTCACTGCACTCGGTAGTGTTCCGATTGTTGGTAAGTTATGTTTGTTTGCTCAGGGCCGTTAAGGTTAGTGTAACTGTGAAGGTGTGTGAATACTGTTATTGGTGTTGTTTCACTATATTGTGCTTCAGTAGTTGCACCTCATAACATAGCACATGCGCATCTCTCCTAAGAGTGGTTTGCAATCCTTCTAGTACAGGTTTCGTGCTATTTAGTATTTGCCCTCCGTTCCCTATCCTCTATATGTAGTCTATATTGGCACCGCCAACTGTCTTATGTTTACTTTTATGTAAATATTTATATACCTTTACTGGACCTTTTTTTTTGTCGTATTTTTCAAATTTAGGACCACAAGTCTGATTTTACGACACCGGTCAAGTCATTTTTTGTTTTTTTGTTTTAAAAACTAAAATGAAGACAAGCGATTTCATACTCGTGAGTGAGCTGAAACAGTCTAAAATAAATTATAGCTGACAACGATAATAGGGTTCCTTCTGAAGGTCTCTGGAGAAACATCTACTTTTCCTGTTCTGAGGCGACAACCAGTTAGTCTGGCTGTAGTTGAGCAAGCTGAGCTTCCGGGCATTTACGTGGCTCTGTCACAGGATCGATCTCCAGTTTACGGAAAACATTCATATCATCATTCTCCACTGAAGTCTCGCGTCTAGAAAAACAATGTTATACCCAACTGTCCTCTGTTTGCTGGCAATTGCTTCGTCTAACGCAAACGCTTCTTCGCGTAGCAACTCACTCATTAGCTGCGCATCTACAATTGGTGAACACTACTATGTACTGATCCAAACAGGTCGAGATGTGACAATGTACGCCCGGTGCGGCCGGTCCCAACCTGAAGGTCGTAACACTGAGCGTATCGCTCGGACTTCCGAAGCCGTTACAATTAATAAACTGTTAACACCATAGCCTTCTGAAATAGAACGTAACATAATACTGTGTAATTTATGTTGCCTCTGAAAGGGGTTCCTCAACAGTATGACTAAGTACTGTAAAATTGCATCTGATACAAGCATATCAGGAAAGATGTCAAGAGTAACACTACTGTCAGTGCAACAAACCTACCTGTGATTGACTTGCATTATGTACTGCAGCTCTTCCAGTTTGTCTCTCGACAATAGATGGAGCCTAGACAAACGCTGTTCTTTCTCATTCAGTATGTACTGGTTCTCGCGCAACCAATGTCGGTTCAGAACTCTCCCGAAGAACAGCTTCTTCTTGTCCCTCATCCACTCGGTCTAATTCGTATGTTGTTTCTCATATATGAACTCTCAAAGCTTTACCACACTCTATATCATTGGCTTCTTTTGAAGCTATCCGTGATTGGGTGGCCTCATACGGATGGTCGGCAAAACCAAAACTGTGGCAGAAAGCAAATGGCAAATACTGTATCACGGTTCAATGCAACCGCTACGTAGAAGACCAATCAATGTGTACCCAAGACAAACGGGACTGGGAACGGGTGTGCATTAGCACCAATGAATGTACTTTAAATAGGAGGAATAACAATTGGCATATCCGCAACCATGCTGCAATACTTGGAGAACCACGTAGCACCAGTCCATACAGTAGCCACAACTGCAACATCTGTAGCGGCAAACGAGCGAAGACAGTTAATGAAATCCAGGATAAACTCGCACGGAGAACACGCCCAATCGAAAACGTCTTTTAAAGGTACAGTGAAGAGTGAAGGCATCTCATCCTCAGGTTCCACCACCTGGTTCATTGGAAGCATAATGCAGCTGTATCTGCTTGTTCTTGTTATTTGCAAATAGATCAATCTCTACCCCTGGCCACTAATCCATGGCGCGTGTAAACCATTAGAAATCCAACAACCTGATTATTAAACTGGTAAACAACCCATATTGTAACACAATTTCTCCTTCATCATCTGTCATAATCCAGTAATGGCATGGGCAATGAGTCAAGTGGTTTTCTGTAGTTCAAGTGGCCAACCGAAGGTGACTCGGACGCATGAGAGCTTGGTCAATATATTATGAATACATCCTAGAAGAGCAGTCTCCTCAAACATTAACTGTACCTGGTGTTTGTGATACAAATATCGACACAGCTCATGATTTCAAGAGCTTTTAGTCTATCTTTCAGACAAAGGCTCACCCTTCAAAAGGGACACAAACTGTTTATGAATATGTATATATGTAAAGGCAGGCAAGCGCAAATACCATAGAAGATACCATACGAAAAAATTATGAAGCTGTCAATGCAATCCAAGTCTAGAACAAAATAATTCTTCGTAGAAGGAGGTGGTTTTGACAAACGCTTACAGATCAACGTCTTGTGAATAAAATCTAAATGGGAAATCTTCTTGAACACTATTATCTGGACCTGGTATGTGTGATACAAATGCATCGACACAGCTCGTGACTTGAAGAGCTCGTCAAGCCCATCGCGTCTTAATATTCGATGTATCGTTGGACAAAGATATACCCTTCAAAAGGGACTTCGACTATTATGATTCGTATGTGTATGTAAACTTGATAAAAGGCTGCCAAGTGCGCATTACCATAAAAGCCATCTTATGAAGGACAATTATGTAGCCGTCAATTCCAAGTCAAGAACTTTATATTTTGTTCATAGGGTGAGGTAGATTTTTTCTTTGACAACCGCAAGAGAGCTTTATCAATGTCGGTAATTATGTTCTAGACTGGCAGTCTCTTATATCATTAAAAGGACCCGGTATGTGTGTCTACAAACGCATCGACACAGCTCGTGACGTCATGAGCACACCAAGAGCGTCCTAAACATTCGAGGTATCAAGAGGCAAGTGTTTAACCTTCATAAGGACTCCGACTGTTTACAATTATGTAAAGACAGCCAAGTACAAGCACAGTACCATAAAAGTCACCTTATGAATGAAAAATTCTATAGCCGTCAATTTCAAGTCTAGAACATGGTAGTTGTTCGTAAACGGAGATGGCTTTGACGAGTAGAGTCTTATATTCAGAACAAGTAATCTATGTTGTTTGCAGCTAGCCCTTTTCCCTTGCCCCATACCGCTGCGGACATGGCAAGGTGTTCATGCATGAGCTCTAAAGATAACTCTCCACTTTCTTCTTGGTTCGAATAGTCTGAGTTTATCATCCAGGGGTGTCTCAGTGAGCAAAACAGTGCGTTGTTCTAGGCACTGGACGAGTTTGCTTTAGCATTACCAAATCCTTCTGGCTATATCGGAATGCTTTAATGGGTCCCTTCCTTGAAAGTTTTCGAAATCCATTTCCTCTGCCACAGCTGTGCGTCTCCTCGAAACGAAGCACTTCTTACTGCAACATCTCCAGCATCAGGATATGCATGTAGCTCTTCATATTGTTCTGGAGAATATAGGTATACGTCATTTAGCTGATGACCACCTGCACCTATCACAAACCACTTGATACTTTATGTTCATGTCCAAGTGAACTCCCTTTCTGGTGTTGTCATTAATGATTAGCTCAAGCCTAGTATACTGCGTGCCCACCATGACATGCATACAAACGTTATCAGTTCGTCTTTGTTCACCGCTAGATCTACGCTCGCAATACATTGCATCCGCTTGCTATTTATGGTGACAAGCCATTGTACATCAACCGACCATGGGACTGACTGGGTCTTCTCTGCATTGAACTTTGTCCCAGACTATTCAACCGATCAAAATGCGAGACAAGAGACTGGTTGGCACCGACTACACTGACTGAGAAAAATAAATCTGCACCTTTGAAAACTGATGATGATTATCACAGACAATGCAATAGGATATAATCAATATACCATAGCGGAAGTGGACCGGCATAAAACTTGTTTTCTTAGTGGTGTTGCCTAGGTGTATGAATGTATTAATGCCGACATTGGTCTATCGGTAGAGCCTGCCTATAAATATACACAACGAAATAAGTATAACTTCCGTGATGTGAAAGCTTTTATGTCATTTGTTGATGATGGCGACACATATACGGCAACGAGAGATGACGTTGAGCAGGATATGCTGGGGGGAGTATAAACATATGAACATGATGAGAAGCCTATGGAACAAACTAATGTCAGGTGCCAGGGGCTCCATATCGGCGTTCTAGTGTCCCTCGGGTTGTTGACGTGCTATAAACAGATGAATGTGCGTCATCAAGACTCGGATGCTGATATTACGATTGATAAGACCTATTGGCGTGCGATGCGACAACTGGAGAACTGCTCTTGGCCTCATACGTCCGCTGTTAAATACCAATCTTCACGGGATCCGTTTGGTTTAAAAGCACATTTAACTGGAACTGCATCTGGCCAAGTGGGAATCCTGAAGGTGTAGTCTTATCGTGTGCACAGGGATTCTACGCTGCCTTTATTTTGTCCACATGCTTCTGTGGTATTTAAACACCTTTCGCAATACGATATAAGTAAGGAAAGTCATACATGGAAGTAAGTGTATATTTCTCCTGTAGTGGAAGTATTTCCACGCTGTAGATAGTCTCAAAGCCTTGTATATCAAAGCGGCAACTGCGCTGGGGACCTTAGCTGTCAGACGGAAAGCCGATGGGTTACTGGTCTGATCCCACACTGTTCCCGATAGCTTATATCTTAGGGCTATAAATCCCAACATTGCATCCTTACCCATTGGTACTTGGTCAACCGAGTAGAATTGTATGCACTATTTATAGTAAGAACTAGAACTTCCACCGCAACCTGTGGCAAAAGACTCGACGAACCAGCAGAGGCCTCTAGCATCTCCCTGGGCATCTCTGTTGGTTCAAGAGACACTATTTAGGGCGAGCAGACGCACATGAGCGACATGGCTTGAGAAGGTATTAACTAGTAAGTCGCTTTATGCATAGACTACAATCGAATGGGGCATGTACCATTGAGACGCATATGAGCGACATGGCTTGAGAAGGTATTAACTAGTAAGTCGCTTTATGATGCACCATTGAAATCAAAGAAAAGAATGAGTGCGTGAAACCCGGGTTATACGGCCATCCATTCCCACACTGATCTCACTACTGGAGTGCACATAACACACGGGTGCAGATATTGCCGATGTCAGCTCTGCACGTCTGATAACAAGTTCACAGACTATACCGGTGCCAAGCTTCACGATGTGCAATACTCGCGAGGAGGACGTCCACATTATTTCAATCTTTAGTTTATTTACTATGGCTGGTACCTAACATTATAACATCATACATAGAGAATATGCACCGCTCCACTCAAACATCTTCACTCAAACACCTTCGTGCAGGGTTTCATACCGTACGCTCCGTCTCTAGACCAACTACCCACATCTCACCCGTAGTAGCCCCGCCTACCGCCACCAACCGGTGCGCCTATCTGTGGCACCTATTTGTGTATCTTTTTGAGCATCTCCGTGACCTTGGAGTCGTGTTTGGTCGTGGGGTTGTCTATGCCGTACTTGGCCAGTTGTCGCACCAGCGGTAATAGCACCATCCAGCTGCTTTCCTTGGTGCTTCGGTTGACGTAATCAGCCTCCTTCTCAGCAAGCTCTGTGATCTCCGACAGCTTCAGCTGCCCGTTTATCTTGCCTGCCACAAACGACGTGTGCTCTCTGCTGTCCATCTGTCGCAGAAGCTCCTGTTTTGGGTTTAGGGTTTATAGACAAGGCCGTGGCAAATGAGAGGCTTGTACCATTCAACTGTCTAATCATAGCCACGTGTGTAACATGCTGTGCACCAGTTGCAGCTGATTTTCAATTGACATAAAACGGCACTGGTCAGTACATAGTATGAAAGTGCATCGCAATGAAAGTAGTGTCTATGGCACGGATTAAAGTGTGTCTACGACAGTGTTTCAGCAGAGTATGTAGGATGTGTGTGTGTACATGTGCTTCGTTTCAGCAGAGTATGTAGTGTGTGTGTGTGCATGAGAGTATGTCCTATGCATATCTGCCTCTGCATACCTGAGTTCCAAACGCAGCGAACTGAGCCGCGCGCACGCGATCAAGTGGTGACGGGTACAGTCCTTGGCACATGTGACCCAAACGACATGTGCGCACTGAGAAGAAGCCCTTGCCCTCCTCCTCGTACAGATTCTTCATAAACGCCAGCGTGTAGGTAGGGCTGCAGTTCTCATTGCGCACCACCACACTGTACTTGTGGCCCTCGGCCATGCGCTGCTTGATGTGGACCAGGTCATCCTGCGGGAGAGGGGGCAGCGTGTGATCAGATGAGGGTGTAGAGTGTGATGAGATAATGGTTCAGGGTATGATGAGATGAGAGTGCATGGTGTGGTGTGGTGTGGTGAGAGGAGAGGAGGGTGCACCCAGTACGCCTGCTCGCCGCCTCTGCAGTGCGCGTGGTGATATTATGGGTTTTAGCGTTTTAGCGTTTAGGGTTTAGGGTGTATGGGGGTGTAGACTACTGCGAGAGTACGTGTCTCAGGATGGTCGCTGCCGCCACAGCTGCGTTGTGCATGTAGGTACATTACTCGAGCGGATAAACCATGCTGACAAGCCACGTGGCAACAAGTCTATTGCAGTACACAGACAACATAAGACATTCATATCTACACAGACACACATATGTTTATATCTACACAGACACATATATGTTCATATCTACACTGACACACATATGCTCATATCTACACAGACACACATACGCTCATATCTACACAGACACACATACCAGCATTTGATTGAGTGTGACGCCCTCTTCACGTGTGTAGACGACATCGGCGCCTGCGGTCAGACCACCGACCAGAGCCAAGAAGCCGCACTTGGCACCCTGGGTCTCAACAATGAACACGCGGTGACGCGACGCATCGGCAGACAACTAACCACGGATAAGAGAGAGAGAGAGAGGGAGGGGAGAGGAGAGGATGAGAGGAGGAGAGGAAGTGTAAGATTAGGAGGGATGGGGCATGACAGAGAAACAGGGGTCCCTACATGTAGATAGATAGAAGAATATATTAAACAGGCTGTATAGCAAGGCTCCTACATGTAGGTAGATAGAAGAATATATGAAACAGGCTGTATAGCAGGGCTCCTATATGTAGGTAGATAGAAGAACATATGAAACAGGCTGTATAGCAAGGCTCCTACATGTAGGTAGATAGAAGAATATATGAAACAGGCTTTATAGCAAGGCTCCTACATGTAGGTAGATAGAAGAATATATGAAACAAGCTGTATAGCAGGGCTCCTAAATGTAGGTAGATAGAAGAATATATGAAACAGGCTGTATAGCAGGGCTCCTACATGTAGGTAGATAGAAGAATATATGAAACAGGCTGTATAGCAAGGCTCGTAGATAGATAGGAGAGTGTATGAAACAGGCTGTCTACCCCGGAACATACTACTAACCTTGCACCTGTCGATGGCATCGGCGACAGCATTGACACCGGTGTCACAACCGATGCTGTAGTCCGTTCCGGGGACGTTGTTGGAGATGGTTGAGGGGATGAGGCAGATGGGAATCTGCAGCGACGGGTGGGTGGGCTTGGCCTTCTCCAGAGTGAGGACAGCCTGTAAGCCACCGAAGCCACCCAGCACTAGCAGTGCACCTATGGGGATGAAGGGGATATTTGGGGGAGGGAGAAGGGTGAGGGGGGGGTAAGTGTGTGGGGATGAATGCGAAGATACTGTATAGGTATACACGGGTAGACAACGTATGCGTATAGGAATGCACATACATCTGCAGGTGAACACACACACACCTCCATAAACACACAACACTCCCAAACACCCTCACATGCACACACACACACCTCCATAAACACACAACACTCCCAAACACCCTCACATGCACACACACACACAACCGACATTCACGTTACGTCGCTACACCCCCCCTACAACGCCGCGCATACCCATCTTGTACTCCTCCATAACCTTGGAGATCTTGTCCAAGTCCTTCGGCTGGGATCGGTTGACCCCAAACTTGGTGCCACCCTCAGACGACCATCCACTGACCTCCATGAAGGAAATCTCCACCAGATCTCCCTTCTCAAACCCATCGAAGCCATCCCTGATACCGTACACCTTGCACCCAAAGTTCATGGCGTACCGAACAGCCGCACGACTGGCGCTGTTCATGCCACTGGCCGGTGCACCAACGCAGATGATACCAACGGACTTGGGGTGCGTGCCCACGGGAACCTGTGGGTGTAAAAGAGGGCAGGCTCAGAGGGTGGGTGGTTGAGTGCAGGTGTAGTGTGTGGGTTTAAAAGAGGGCAGGCTCAGAGGGTGGGTGGTTGAGTGCAGGTGTAGTGTTTGGGATTAAAAGAGGGCAGGCTCAGAGGGTGGGTGGTCGC